TTGATGCAACAACCAATAGCATGTTTGAACATATGTAGAAGAAGAAGAAGAATGCAAAATGGTAGCACATTAAGTTGGTACTCGTTTCAGGTCATCAGAAGCTTGTTTACTGTGAATTTGAATGCGGTGTTGGTAATGACGTAGTCTGCCATCGTTTTCTTCGGGCCAACACAACCACGGACACTAATACTGTGCGGATTAGTTTTTTTAAATATCATTCACCAGATCGTGAGGTCGCTGAAAACATGAACCTGCCTGCGTCTGTTTCCTTAAATGTGTAGTATGGTAAAATGATCCTGAATTGCTCAGGGTCACCAGTACGACCGTTTGAATCTTCATCGCCCCCTGCTGCCTTAATTGTATCGACCTGGTTGACCGTCCCTCTTTACCCCTCTAATATTTGACTAATCTTTGTTTGCTTTTCTGCGGACGAGGTCATTTTCCGAGCAGCCATGCATGTTTCATCCTCTCGAATTCTTGCATCACCTTTTAGGAGGAAGTGACGGAGAGCTCGGAAAACGGTCTGGTAGTTGGTGCACTTGCCGCTCGCTCCAGTGTGGTCTCCATGCCCCCACCCTGTGCTCGTGCTGTATTCTCCGATTCTGGAAATACCACCAATCCTAAATGCTACACCAGTGTCGACAACTTATGGGTAAGCAGTCCTCTGTCACTCCACTCTCTTTCGATTTCAGGCTTAACGGCTTTAAGACTGGTCGTCTTCCAATAACTGTGTCAAGTGCTCAAATCGAAGGAGTTTCCTTCATTCAAGACGCCATTCTTAGAGACATTTGCAGCTAGTTCGAGTTCAATGTTTTGCTGTTTGTATTATGTCCCCCGACTGCATGTGTGGAATAGAAGACAGACAGGGTATAGAGAACAGTTTACTGCAACAGTTTCGGTTTGTACATCAGCTTCTGTGTGTGTGTGTCTCGAGTTCTGTCCGTGGACAGCAATTCGTCTGCGTGTGCGTACTCGTCCGCAGCCAGTCCTCTCTGTCGACAGCCCGTTCTCTTCGTGGGCAGTAGATCCTCTCTCTGGGCAGCAGGTCCTCTCTCTGAGTAGAAAGTCCTCTCTTTGGACCGCAACTCCAAAGCGAAGGAGGGCAGTTCTTTGAGGAACGACAGCAAATATTATTGTGTAAATTTTCGATGCTGCTTCCCCATTTCGTTGTCATCGTCAGACTTGCAGTAAGTTTTTAGAAAAGGTAGACTTTTAAACGTGCCCGAAACAATTTTATATTGCCTAGTCATTCTTGTCAATAGCTGTATCTGTGGATTGACATCTCGTCCGGATTGGTTGTTGCCATTTCCATGTTTTATACACGACATGCAATTTCGTGTGTCGATTAATGTACTCATCATAGTAGTGAATGGCCTCTAAACTCTCTCAGTTTTTCTTTGATGGAGCGAAACTTAAAATTTAAATGTGGTTCCATGCAAATTTTTCCCCAGTTTCCGGTGTATACATGACAATTTGAGGCTAGTCGTCTCGTCTCTTTAGTGCCAAATGATTTTCGTGCAGGTGTGTACAAGACGAATTTCCTGTTTGAATAGAATATATTATATTGCAACTACCACAGGTAATCTTGTAAATGACTTCTTTTCTATTCAAATTACTTATCCTATTCTCGGGATGTACAAGCTGGTTTCGTGTGTAGTCGTTTTTTGTGGACCACATGGGTTTGGTGCTTCTTAAGATGTCTTTCAAAGACTTCAGACTCGTTCTTAATGTATGGCATTATCCTATCGGCCAATGCATTGATGCATAAACTCTCAAGGATAACCATTTCGGCTAAACAGTTTTAACAGATAATTAACTTCGATTTGGGGAAGTTCGGCGTCAGAACAGTGAGTATTTGCTCGATTGAGTAGAGTTTTAACAATACCTCACTTTAGAAGAAGAGGATGTGATCACTGGAACAAGTTTTATTTGCCTGACGTTTCGCCTGTGAGCGGCAGGATGGTTGCTCTCCTCGTGTAGGATAACTTCCACATACGGTTTTGTGGTAAACAGGTGTATAGGAGTTAAGGCTACGACGATTAACCCTAACGCCTACAATCTTCGAGA